TTCACCCGGACCCACTGCTTTCAAGGTGGGGAGGAGGAGAGAGAGAACATTCACTAATTACACCCCAGCCTTTAATGAGATTCTTTTACTCCCTCGCGCTCGTTTACAGGTTACAGCCTTATCTGGGGACCCACGTTTTCCACTCTGGCTACACATCCTGCGAACAATTGCCTCTCCAGAGCCTGAATGGAAAGCGAGCGCCCCATTTCTGCTGAATGGCCGTCTCAGTTCATCTGAGGCTGGAGGGCTTTTGATGGCCACAATACAAGTTACGCCCAAAGAGTGTCTCTTTGGTCAGATCGGCAACGCTTGGTTTCACGTTTGCAAGTTAAACGGGCAAAAACCCAGCCGAAACTCCCACGCCAGACGCCAAGGACATTTCCCTTCACTCTGCTCAGAGCGAAACTAGGGAAAGGGTCTGGGCAGGGGGAGGAAAGGGGGATGCTGGCAGGGAGGAGGGGTGGAGGAGAATGGGGTCCTGCTTTTCAGCAGCAGTCTAGAAGTAGGTGGGGGATGCATTTTCTTTGGCATTTCTTTCTTGTATTTTTTTTAAATATTTTTTTCTTTGTTGACAGCTTTATCCAAACAAAAACTAAAGCGAGAGCATTTTCTCCTTGTCTTCACCTAGGTAGCTGTTTTCCTCCAGCCCCCGAAAATGTGACTCCTTCATAAAATCAAAATTTATGATTATTCAAATGTTGGGGACTGTGAAAAGAGAGGAAGAAAGAGAGAAAATTAATATTGCAGCTGTTCTTCTGATTAATGAGAGATAATTGCTCATGAGAAGTCACCCCTGTGGCATTTTGTTGTCTCCTGGATCTTTGTTCTTTTCCACTATTATTGAGGACTTTCTTGAAGACTAAGCGGTTCTTTTCAATTTTTGGGTATTCAGAAAGGGTTGCCTGGTTACAGAGAATGGGGAAATCTCGGGCTATATCGGGTAAGATGTGCCACAGACAGCAATATCACAATGCCACTTGGAGAAAAGGATGGATACAAGTTAACGATGCGCTTTCAATAAAACATTCATAGACTTGTTCACGCTTTGATAATGACCTCATTAAAGGGAGCTGGGGGCACGTAAGTTCTGTCTCCTGTTTGTGTTCGGCTAACAAAACCCAGCTTTGAGATCATTCATCGCTTTGGAAACTAATATGAAATCAATGTAAGAGGAGCAAATAAATCCGAGGCAGCCCAGCCGACTCCCCCGGCTGTCCAGCTTTGCTCGCGGCCTCAGTTTGTAGCTATAGAGGCAAATGCTAAACCAGAGAGGGCAGGGGGAAAAAAGACTGAGGATGTGAGGGGGGGAAGCCCTTGCCTTGGGGGATACAGAGGACGTGCAAGGTGGGGGTTTTGCCTGAAAAATAAAAAAAGACTGGTTAAGCACATCAACAGTTGAGAACTCTGGGGCCTGTTGAAAAAGCCATGCCACTTTACCGGTGGAAAGGAAATTTGGAAGAAAGAAAAGTGAAAAGGGGATGTGAGGTTCAGGTCAGATTCCATCATAGGCCAGAGGAGGAAGAACTATTAAACCATTTGAAACCTAGAATCCAAGCGTTCAAGTCTCAAGGCTGAACTGGAAGGAACCCAACCAAGAGCCCAGCGGCAAGAAGGTACCCTTGCTCTTTTTACAGCTGCTTTGATTTTTTTTTTCCTTCTCTAAACTGAGGGCAGGATGAGGGTGCTCCGTCTGGGAATGGGGAAAAAGCAATGTTGTTACCTTTGCATTTGTGATACTGCTTTGCACTCAAGCAAGACAAAGCCAGCCAGCCTCTGCCAGCCTCAGCAAAAGAGAAGGAGGCAAAGGGTTTCCCTCCTCCCCTTAAAAGAACTAATTTTCTCCTTGAATTATGAAAGTAATGGCTAAGGTAACAGCCTGTACTCTGTACCCAGACTGCTTAATACCGAATAAATCCTTCCACGTGGCTCCCTGAGTCCTGGCAATTAGAGCTCATTATAGGCTCATAAGAGCCCTCATTTGGGGGCTTACTTAATGGACAATGAAATTTTATCAGACAGAATCACTGAGAGATAAAATCGTGCGCTGGGGCAAGCACTGTGGGCATGCTGCCTGTCGACTAGCCTGCTTGGGAGAAGGCCCCGGCATCCTCCTTTACTCTGAGCAGTTTATGATACCACTCCAAGGACAATGACGGCAACTCTGCCCAGGTTATAGAGGGTGGGATTGCGGGTGCCTGGGGCATAGGTGGAGCTGACTTCGAAAAGAAAACGGGGCAGGGGGAGACAGAGACCTGGGGGAAAAAGAAAGAGCAAAGGTTATGAGGGGGCGGGTATAGCTCCCAAATACTTGCTCTTCATGAACCTAAGCAATTAGCAAAAGACTCTGATGAACAAATTCCTCAGACCACAGAGGAACTCTGACTCAGCCTAATCAGAAGCTTCTGTTCTCCTGCACCCCCTTTCTTGGACCCCCTCACCTCTCTCAAAAATCCCTTGACAGTGGAAGCTGAATGCATCCATAGTCCATCCAACATAAACCAAATAAGATGTAAGCCTCCTGCTTGACTGAGCCCCTAAAATGAATGGGTCTGCACACATGCACCATTCCTAGAACATGAGCAGAGAAATTCTTGGAAGCACACCAGTAGCCCCTGAGAATACTGCCCTGTAAGCACCAGCCACAGAGGACTATATATATAACCTACCTGCCAGAAGAGGAAAGAGAAAAGGACTGTTTTCTCAAAGCACCAACCAGTTGACCCCATTGAACAACCTAAGCCTTTAAAAATACTCTTGGGCAGGAGAAATGGCTCAGTTAAGGGCACTTGTTGCTCTTGCAGAGGACCTGGGTACTGTTTCCGGTACGCACACCCATCCACAATTCCAATTCCAGGGGATCTGGTGCCTTCTGGCCTCTGAGGGCACCAGGCACAAATGTGGCACGCATACATACATACATACAGACGAAACACTCATATATATAAAACATTATATATTATATGTAAACATTAATATATAATAAATATTAAAATATTTAATAAATATATTGTATGTTATATATTAAAGTATATAATAAAATATATACTAAATATTAAAAAATAAAAAATGCCCTGCCATCAAGCCTCTTAATTGTTGAGTTCCAAATACTTTTCTTAAGGTTAGAAGGATCGCAAGGCCTGCTGGGCAGGCAGCGCCTGCCTCGGATCTTCTCCAGTCAAAGGAGAGAGTGGGCTGGTTAGAGCTGGTCTTGACTGGGTGGGCTGGATGAAAATGAGCATCCTTGAAGGCTGTGTAGACAAACCTTGCGATGCAAAAGTAGTTACAAGTGAGCAGCCCCACGCTCTGCCCCAAGACTCCTTAATTGTTGTCACAAGACGTTGGATTAGCACATTTCTGGAATAGCTGTCTGTTTACACTCTGGAGACTCACCATCCACTAACCACTTTCTAATTGAATTCTAATCACATTCAAATAGCTCAATAACCAGCCTCAGCTGCAATTCATAAAACTTTAATTGCCATCCATAAATCCTGGGCTCCCTAGAGCGGGGCATCCCTACAACCCAATTACACTCCTCCATCAGGCCAGAGAGAGGTGGTCACCGAGATGGGAAAGAGAAAGAGGAAGCAATAGGACATAGAGACAGAACCACGCCTCCAGCTGGTGTCCCCTGTCCTTGGGCGTTGCTCAGGTTGAGAGAATCCAGTCTTCAAGTGTCTTGTCATTGTTGTGAACTTGAAGTTGCTAACATGAAGTTAGCCGTTTTAGCAAAGGACAGCAAAGAAGCTGCTGGCATCTTTGCCCCCAAGTCAAGAGCCTCGGTGGCGGCAGCCACCCTCTCTCACGAGGTGCACAAGTCTTCCAGAGCCACACAAGGAAGTTCTGGGACCAATCCACTCTTCACAGTGGCAGGATTCCTCTATTGGCTGTATCCCCTTTTTCCACTTTAGGATTTGAGGGCGCAAAGAGTATCCGTATTGAGAGAGGTAGGGTGGTATCAGCAAGAGATCACTTAGACCAAGGCCTCCTCCAGTTCCTATCCCAGTCTCTAGGAAGGCTGGTTTTGGTCCTCTCCAAATTTTTGCAGTGGAGTTTGTAGGTTGAGCTTGTAAACTATGTAACTGCTTGGATAAGAAAAGGGAGACTCCTCGTCGTCGTCCCCCCCCCCCCGCCGGCACAGAAGGCTGAATTGCTAATTTAAAAGATGCCCAAGGAAGGGCCACTGATCTGACTGGCCTCAAGAGAACCCCAAATACAAAGGTATTTGGAACCTGATGTAGCACGAATCTGGAACGCCCGGTTTCTTAATCGGGAAGTTACCCACCAGATTCGTCCAGTGCGAATGACCTTGGCCAAGTCTAAAAGCTGGGGAGCAAGGACAGGTATGAGTGTGGGGTGGGGATTAGACGGGGGCGACCTTTACTCCACGATCACACACCCTGCTCCAGAACAGAAGTCTTAGGATCTGCTGTGCAGGCAGGGTTGACACGGAGGAGCTTGGCTGCGTTGGGTACCTCAGTTTAAATGGTCTGGAAGTTCCCACCCGGTGCGTTCTGCGTTGCGCCGCGGTGAAGAGTTGGACAGAGGCCCAGCGAGGGAGAGGGTAGGACAGAGTATAGACCGCTGAGAAGAGGGGAGAGAGGGTCGATCCCCCAGCAAAATTAGCAAACCCTACACTTTGTGAAGTCTCCCCCCTCCCTTGCATTCTTTCCTGCCCGCCCCCCCTCTCCCCGCTTCTGTTGTGACTCGGGCAGCCTATCCCGAGGGTGGGGAGCTGCGGAGAAGCCTGAGCTGAACGGTACTCCGCAGCATCACGTGCCAGGGTGGGGGCTATAAAATCCTGAAGCCGGGGCGCCGGGCGGGGGACGTGAGGACCAACCTTCTCCAGAGACCCCTTTGTTCGAGTCCCAGACGCCGCCGACACCTCCGCGTCCCCAAGGGCTTGACAGCCCGCGCCCTAGTTCTCTAGACATAGCTCAGATCTCGAAAGGCGAGGGGACGCCGCAGCCCGCGGAGCAAGCCATCCATCCCCCGTCGTCATGTCGCGCTCCTTCTATGTGGACTCGCTCATCATCAAGGACTCCTCGCGGCCCGCACCCTCGCTGCCGGAATCGCACCCAGGGCCGGATTTCTTCATTCCGCTAAGCATGCCGTCCCCGTTGGTGATGTCGATGTCGGGGCCCGGCTGCCCGTCCCGCAAAAGCGGCGCTTTCTGCGTGTGCCCGCTTTGCGTCACCTCGCACCTGCATTCCTCTCGCCCGCCCGCAGGAGCCGGTGGCGGTGCAACGGGGACCGTAGGCGCTGCGGTGGCGGGCGCTGGGGCGGCTGGGGGCACCGGCGCCCTACCTCTGCTCAAGAGCCAGTTCTCTTCCGGCCCTGGGGACCCACAGTTTTGCCCACGGGTGAGCCACGCACACCATCACCACCACCCGCCCCAGCACCATCATCACCATCACCAGCCTCAGCAGCCGGGCTCAGCGGCGGCGGCGGCGGCTGCTGCTGCTGCGGCAGCGGCGGCCGCAGCGGCCCTGGGACACCCTCAACACCACCCACCTGTCTGCGCCGCCACCACCTACAACGTGTCGGACCCGCGGAGGTTCCACTGCCTCACCATGGGTAGGGCGGGGTACCTGGGTACCTGCGCGCCTCCGGGGAACAAACTTTGCGCCGAAAAGGGAGGAGGTGGGGTGGAAAGTGGCGGGAGGTGGAACTTTGTAGAACTGTTGAGCTCATTCCTAGAAATTCCACGGGTTAACTTGTCAACCTCTTGGTGAAGCCTTATGCACTTCGTTCTACAGGTGCACAAGTGTTGTGTGTTATCCGGGTTTTTGAGACCTGGATCATGACTTCAGGGAAACCCGAGGTTGACTGACTGAGGTTTGGGGTGGGTGTGTTTGAACCTCAGTATTGAATCTTATCACCTGGGCTGGTTCAAGGGTTTCTATGCCTTTGGCTGAGGCTGTTAGCAGTTTCTACTTTGCTAGGCCAGCGGAAGGCTGCAGAGGAGCCCAAGCCCCAGCACTCCTTAGTTGTTTAGCTTGGAATTCAGCGCACATTGAAGGCCTGAATTCTCAGGGACGTCTCTCTCCCTCCCAGACAGGCTGTAGAATGCGAAACTGGGACGAGTATGGGTGTGTTGGGTTAAAACTGCCCTATCCGATAGTTGGCAAGTAAGGTAGGGAATACCTTTCCTGCACCTCACCTCTACTCTCTTTTGGGTCCGTAGGAGGCTCGGACACCAGCCAGGTACCCAATGGCAAAAGGATGAGGACAGCTTTTACCAGCACGCAGCTCCTAGAGCTGGAGCGAGAATTCTCTTCCAATATGTACCTGTCCCGACTCCGAAGAATCGAGATCGCAACGTACCTGAACCTCTCAGAGAAGCAGGTGAAAATCTGGTTTCAGAACCGTCGCGTGAAGCACAAGAAAGAAGGGAAAGGCGCTTCGAGGAACAATCACGCAAGCTGCAAGTGCGTGGGCAGCCAGGCGCACTATGCTCGCTCAGAGGACGAGGACTCCTTGTCCCCAGCCTCGGCTAACGAAGACAAGGAGATTTCTCCTTTGTAAAGGAGGATGCCCCTTCTCAGGCTACCTGCTCCCGGCAGCCCCTGCTGCGTCACAGCACAGGGACCAAAGTTCTAGTTCATCGCCTTCATCCCACCTGGAAAAGGAACTCGGGAAAGTCCAGAGAGTTCAAAACTGAGCCCGACTTTGAAGCTACTTCTTGACTCTTTATTTGGGACTCCACTCAGAGTTGTACATCTTTTTTTTTTTACTGTAAATAATCTAGAATTCTAGTCAGTCTCATATAACAGGAAAACAGGGTTGATTTAAGTTTAACACTGTATGGAGGGAGTGTGTTGAAACCGCATGTCATTTGCCACCCTTGTCTTTGCAAAACTTGATCAGACGGGGGTTTCTTTATTTTTTTTGTTCTGTTTTAAAAATGAAACTATTGAAGTTGCCATTAATATAGAATTAAACTCCTTAGGTCTTGTTTTCTGAAATTTTTCATTGGGGGAAAGTTTTAAATTCAAGTCTCCGGAAGTCCCTTTGTATGTGAATAGTTTTATATAAAATTTATATTTATATTTATTTAAATAAATGAAACAAAATAAATATTTTTAATTTGTGGTACCTGCTGTCATCCCCCTAACACACACAGCAACCCTACAGACAGCCGTGTGGAGGGTAAGGACTGCAGCCCAGCTGATGGAACTTGGAACTTAAGGTTTTATGCAGAACAGAAACTTCTTATTGAAAAGACACCTCAGTCCTCATTTGACACTGCCTGCTAGGTGGTGCTCCTTTCATCAAAGCTGGTGACAGCACAGCTGGCTGGACAAGGAACTGTCAGAGGGTCACTTTTTATAAAAAGTAGTGGAGAGGCAATGCCATGCCATGCCCTTGGTGTTTATGTTTCGTTTGTTTGAGACAGGGTCTCATCATGTAGTCCAAAGCCGCCTTCCACTCACAGAGATTCTCCTGCCTCTGCCACCCATGCCAGGCCCATAGCCAGTTTTTACTTACACTTGATCATAGCCAACCCCCTCAAACCCCCCACCCCTGTCTCTTGGGCACTTGCCCCTCTTTTCTGGTCTTTCATCTTGCTCAATACTAAACCAAGAATCCCGTGAAGGAATTCACACAATAGGAGTAGTTTTTAGGAGATCCACAGTCCACCAAGCAAGTCAGCGTGAGGGACCTTACAAGTGACTGAAAACTTCAATGTGGCTGCTGGCTTGTGTAAGTCAGTTAGCTGGAGGTCCTCATGTCCTCAGTGCCAAGGTAGCAAAAAGGCAGAGACAGAAAAGTGCCTTTTCGAAATGTTTACAATCTCATCTTTCCAAAACAGCCCGAGAGCTATCTGAAGGGTAATACTCTCCTCAGGGGGCAGAGTTGGCTTATTATTTGTGGAAACTTGAACAAGGGTCACCCAAATGTGCCTCAGGGGTTCAGGCCTGCTAAGACTACCTGGCCTAGGTGTCTCAGCCTGGACCTGGGTCTGTGGAAGTGACTTCTGAGTGCCAACATCACCCACCAGTGGGACTCTTTGTATAGCCAGAAGAACTGTTTAACTTGTTCTCTCCCTCCCTCCCTCCCTCCCTCCCTCCCTCCCTCCTTCCTCCTTTCCTCTTTTAGGTTTGATTTATTTTAGTCCAGTCCTCCCCAGCAAAGAAAAAGGGTATGTGATCATCTTGTTTATGAGCTTCACAGTTCCGGGGGTAGTCAGTCTCCTCCCCACCCCTCCACCCCCACCACACACACACCACCATTCAGCCTTCAGGAACAAGCTCATTTTCAGACCCCATTAGGACACCAAGCCCGGGCAGGCAAGAGGAAGGACCACACAGGGTCCACACCAATGGGGACCCCTGGGTCGCTTTGTAAGGAGGGCTGGGTCTGGTTTTGGGCAGTTGCCCCAAGCCAACTCGTGCTCCTGCTCCGGTAGTCCTGATCTCACGAGAGAAAGCAGGAGCTGTCCTGCTGGCTGGGAGGGGATTAGGCACAAACTCGCTGCATTTCCTATTTCCTAAAAACCAACTTCCTTCTTTTTCTTTTTTCCTAGGCGATCACAGTGGCCAGTGGGAGGAAAGTCGCTTGTAGGGGCTAGGGACTGTCTTTTAAAGAGGGTAATTTCTTTGTTGGAAGTAAAGAGCGCCTCCACCCCAGGGAATCTCCCCTACAAGCCTACTCCTGCCCAAAGCAACGTCTCTTCTGAGGCGCCCGCCCCATAGACCCCTGCCTCATTCCTTGCTAAGCCCATCCTTGCCAGCTCCCCACTGTCCTGCGTCTGAGTCTAGTCCACACTCAGGTCCCTTGCCAGCATGGAATTCAGTCTCTACCCTAGCCTTGCTGGGCCTCGGGTTGCAGGTCTTGTGAACGCTCTTGCGCGATGCTCTTGCCACACCATGCTTACCACTCCTGTGGAGCAGGGCTGCTATCCTGGCTGAGGACTGCCACTGAGTATGTTTTAAGAATGACGCTTCCAGAATTTAGAATCTCACTGTCCAGACTGGGTTAAGAGCGGTTACGCCCACTCTCCAACGCTAGGCTCAAGGACAAAAATAGTCTCCCAACAATCTTCAGAACAAACACCTTGGGTGCACTGGAGGAGGTTTATGGCATTGGGAACCAATGTGGAGAGCATCTACTATTGGAAATTAATGTGGGGAACGTCTACTAGGCAGTCGCAGGCTCCAGCTTTCCTCCAGTCCCACTTGAAACCCACCAAATGGTCTACGGCCATACCACCCTGAAGGTGCCCGATCTCGTCTGATCTCGGAAGCTAAGCAGGGTCAGGCCTGGTTAGTACTGGTTAGTACTTGGATGGGAAACCCACCAAATGCTCTTTATCCAAAGCACAACCTCTCAGAATCCTTAAACACAACCAGAAAAGAGAAATTAAAATATTAAGTAGAAAACAGAAACTTATTTGACTAAAAAGAGGGGGGTGAGCAAGAACCAGGGAAGGTGTTGTATCCAACCAGGAGAACCCTAGGCTGCTGGGAGCTCTAGAACACAAGGAAGATGACCTTTCACCCCTGTGCCCTGGCTCAACTCAAAGGTGAAAGGAGGAACAAAGACCTTCTCCTTCTCCTCTGGCACCCAGTGACCACCACAAGCTCTAGGCCAAGGGCCTGATAGGGATTACATCCCCTGGCAGGGCTTTTCAGTTATAAACCAGGGCAAAAAGGACCCAACAGCTCATTCTCGGCATGTCAGTGGCCCAGGTAATGGAGACACTGGCGCCAGTAGAGCTATCTTCTCTGAAGTTCCTATTCTGAACTGGTTTGGTTTGAATTATACAGGAGAGCTTTGTTTCTTGCTACTTCCTTTCCCAAATAGAAACAGAATTCAGGGGAAAGCAGTCTTCCATTCCTAGCCTCCTCTGCCCCTCCCCACCCCCACTACTTGCCACCACTTCTATCCAATGTTATCTGATTAGGATGGTGTCAGCTTGCTTAGGCCACACTGACTGGTCAGCCAATTGCCAGAAAGCTGGTAAGTGAAAGTGGTCCCAAGTGGTTAAAGGATTTGTGTGTCCATATGTATGAGCTTGTATGCCAGAGAGGGAGGAACACACACACACACACACACACACACACACACACACACAGACCACACACACACCCATCCACCCCACACAGACAGACAGACAGAGAGAAAGAGACAGACAAAGAGAACCAAGTAGTTGTGGCAGTGTGAATATAAAGCCAAGAACAAGAAACAGAAGAATACTAGGGTTTTTCATTTTCATTTTCTTTTTATAGCATCTCTTACCATGCTGACTACTAACTGTCCAGGTAGCTAAGGACAACCTCTTCTCTCATGTTCTCTAGTGCTGCCATCACTTGGTTTGTGTGGTGCTGGGGCTCGAACCCAGGGCTTTGTACAAGCTCCCACCAGCACCCTGACTAAGTTACAGATCCAGCTCTTTAAGAAAAGAAAATTGTCTTCCTTCTTTACCAGCCCCACTCTCCACTCTTTGAGAGATGTCCTTGAAGAAGGTGGGAAGATCCTCAGGAAAGCTGGGGCTAGGGGGGGGGGGGGCTGCTCAACACTGAGGAGAGAGAGAGAGAGAGAGAGAGAGAGAGAGAGAAGAATTCTGGGAAAGGAGCATCAGCCCAGCCTTTAGGATGGGAGGAAGAGAATGACACTTCCAACTGAACCCATTTGCTAGAGGAAATTGGGTTTAAAGGAGCAATCACGTCTTTAAAAGGAGCCCCTCCCACCTTCCCTAAACAGCAAGCTGTCCCAGAGGATGAATGCGGCTCATGCATCAGAGCAATTGTTCCTATTTTCATTATTCACAGAGAATCTTTGAATGTACCTGTTAAGGTGACAGACCTTTTCAAAGGGAACAATTTTTCCGTGCAATTAATTGGTGCATTTACTAGGCTTCTATTAACATAATTTAATATAAATCTATTTTATAAATCTTTAGGCTCACATTACTGAAATTGAGCTCTTTTTAGAAAAAAAAAAGTGCCCACAGATGCCTCTTTCTTAAATTAGATAGAATGAAATCCAAAATCTTGCTATTCTAAGCCAGTTAGAAATAAGAACTGGTAGAAGAGCCTTTTGTATTGTCTTTGTTAATGGGGGGAACCCGCAGCCCAGCCAGAGCTCTGCTGCTTAGAGGCCGCTACTTGAAAGGGCTAAGTCAAGCTGAGTTTGAACCAGGCCAGAGGAGAGTGGGAACTTAAAGATGTGTCTTAGGAACACAGTTGAATCAGAGCTCAGATGAAAATTAAACAACAAAGACAAAACAGCAACAACCCAACTTTGGAAGAGACCTGAAAGTAAGTTTCTTCTATCTGGAGGAAGAAAGCCCAAAGCTGGTGAGACCCCCAAGTTCATAATGGCGCTCTATGGTACATTCATAACCTTGACTCCTTAAGTTCAAGTGTATTCTCCAAAATTTGGAGAGTCCAAATAAAAACAGGGTTTGTGTTTCTCTGGTGTATTGATTTCGGGAAGGCCCCCCTCTCCACCGGGTTTTGTTCTTCTCCCACCTGAGCCCTGTTTTCTCCAACCCAATTGTATTTGGGTGAACTTTCCCA